GACAGACTTAAATGGAAAAACTCAGGAATCTAAAGTGATCTCAAAAGCAAATTGGAGACATCTAATGTTGCACTGTACTGCTAGTTCATTGTCAATTTTAACCTGTATATATTTCATTCTGTCGGAATTTCCTTTTAAAATGTTTGTAATGGAACGGTGCAATTCAGTTACTACTGCAAGGCCGTTTTTATTGTGAATAATAATAAACCAATGATGATAAGACATGTCATGCGTAGAAGTTTGAGACCCTTCAACATTCCAGACCAAAACTTCCTTGAAATCTTTACGTCATGTTCACGTTTACGTGTTATTGTCTCCATTATTCACACATATCACTTATAATCACATCTAATTCGATGTCTAATCGTCGTTCATGATTAACTACTACTGCTACTACTACTACTGCTGCTGCTGCTGCTACTGCTACTATTTTTACTGCTACTACTGCGGCTACTGCTACTACTGCTGCTGCTGCTACTATTGCTACTTCTGCTACTGCTGGTTATACTACTACTACTACTACTACTACTACTACTACTACTACTACTACTACTACTGCAGCTACTGCAGCTACTGCTACTGCTACTGCTACTACTGCTACTGCTACTGTAACTGCTACCACTGCTGCTACTGCTACTACTACTACTACTACTACTACTACTACTACTACTACTACTACTACTACTTCTACTTATACAACCATATAAAATGTACTTTCTTCCAATGGTAAACGTACCGACACTGAGGTTTCATTCTGATACATCCTGTATCTATAATGATCAGTCCGGAAAGAAAGACATTAAGAGCATGTTTTGGAACCGAATCACAAAGGAGTCTAAAACGTCAATGATAAATGCTGTGTGCGGCTCGCAACCAATATGAATTATTTGTATTCCTCATAAAGATAGCCCGTGGGTTTCTTTTAACATTCCAGTATTTTCGCGGGGGACTTTTAAAACAGAAGTAAATCCTCTTAAGTTCGCTAGATTTCTTTTTCCTAATACCACATCCCTGTATTTTACAAGTAACGGGAAGCTTTTTAGGCTACACAGGTAGGTATAAATATGTGGACTTTATTATTTATAGATTCATACTGTATGAGCACGAGTATACTTTTAAACAGTGAAAATAAAATACGCGAAAAATGTAGCAGTATTATAATTATTATTGTTATTATTATTATTAGTAGTAGTAGTAGTAGTAGTAGTAGTAATCTAAGGGAACAGAGGCCAAGAATTTTAAAATGGTTTGTCTAAAAACAGTCTAATTTTCCAAAATTTCATCAGCGTCTGTCATATGTGTGAAAAGAGTTCTTAAGGAATAAGTTCATGGCACCTGCATACCACCTTGCAGTTCAGTTAGTTATAATATTAGGCTACTGTAGTCAAACATAGACTTAGTCAGAAAATAGCCAAACAGTCGTAAAGTGAATACCATAAGTGTGATTGCACTTCTTTCGTCATATGCCCAAGCCACCCCTACCTCCTACTAATCTTTAGGTCCTTTGGTCACAGATCATTAGGTCATAGAAGCCAAACAAATTTTTTTTTTCTAAAAGTTGCAAAATCTTTTTTACAGCTTTTAAATACCAAAAGCGGAAATGATTTTTTTTTTAACGGGGGTGGGTTCAGGGTACTTGAGACCAAATTAATTTCAGACAATTTTTACCAGTAGGAAGGCCTGGTGGAGTCTATAACATCTGATTGAAAACACCGCTAAGCTGCAACACAGAAACAATCAGGAACATTACAGACGTATCAAGTATTGACTGATCTGTCTGTTGAGTCTGAGAATTGATGTATTGTTGGTCCTTTGGGGGTAATTTTTGTACTGTAGGAAATCATTTTCCATAAAAAAGAAAGGTGGCATTTATCAAACTATTTATAAACGTCACAATAACGTGTGTCGCTA